AACTATAAAATCTGTTGTTTGACACTTTTCACTAGGTTAAACTATTTTTGGTAAAACAAGCATATGTAACTTGTCATTTTTCTAGAGGTGGCTATACTTATCCAAATGGCATGAAATTCGTTTAGTACACTATTGGAGTTATATGTAGGCTACTATAATTTTCTTAGGATTTAATGAGCACTAAAAATATTTATCCTTTAAATCACCCTATTATATAAGGAAATTAATAAATGCATTTACCTAAATCCTTTGGGCTTAACCATGCTATTTTCTGTGGTGCTTGTGATGCATATGATCTGTTGATATGAGTAGTTATGCTCAAAATTAATTAGTTATAGGCAGCTATTTATTTGTTGCTTTATAATTCAACTAGATGGTTGCATATGTAGTTTCTGTTATGGTGACAATTTCGTGATGATAATGACCTCTCCTGTGAAACTTGTTAATAAAAAAGTTGTAGATAGCTTACTCATATTGCTTACTCATATGGCTAGATGGTTTAAGAGTTATAGCTGTTAGAACTCTACTGTCAGATTTGCTTGTCCTCTAGATAGATCTAGAAGATTGAATTGTTTGACCTAGATAGCTACTGAATCACCTTAAGATGATTAAAATAAAGTTGTAGGCAAGTTCATAAGATTTCCAGAAAGTCCATAACCATATTGTTTAGATGTGTATAACTCTAGTTATGGTCAAAACAAGTGGCCGCTGTCTTGCAGCCCAGAAAATGTTTAAATAGGTGTTTGTTTAATTACTAGAAAGGAGTTATGTACCTACTCAGTAAAAGAAGTTAATCTTGTTATCACCCTAATACCTTGCTGTTAAAAACACTCATGATTATGCATTTCATCATATCATATCACCCATGTCATTACCTATGCATCCATGATATCTTATTCTTGCTCATGCATATAGGATCACCCGAAGGAGTAACCCTACTAGAATTCGAAGAAGAGACGGAGGACAATCAAGGGACACCCCAAACCATAGCTCTTGAAGGAGAGGAGCTGGCCACAGATGAACTTCCAGAGTGCCCTAACCACCAACCCACTTCGTTTCTGAAAGGCAAGCCCCGAAGCATTATAAGCCTCCTATGTTTCATAAAATATCACTTGAGTCCTTTATGCTTGATGCATTAGGTGATAAGAATTGAATTGGAAACACTTGATGCATAGTACTACCTTGTCCAGAAATATATACCTTGAACCCTATGTAGGTCTATGATTGATCATATGCTTAGCCCTACTTAGACTGGTAGAAGTCGCGTGATTTCCTATCACCTGCGAGATATAGATGGATACCGGAGCATGGTAGGCTATATTTGCTATTGTGGGAAATAACCATGTGATGATTAATAAATGGAGACTGGATGGGATCTAGGGATTGAGACGCAGCAAGACATGGAGGTCTTGTGTGCATGTTTTATTCCGTCCGTGTCGATTAAGGACCGTACCGTTGTTGCCACTTCTATCGAGATTGAACGCATGCCTCTCACTTAGCTGGCCGGATAACTCATTCCGACCACAAAGCCGAGTAGCTCAACTCAGGCCAGGCCTCGTTCTGTCAAAGTGCACACTCTGGATGGTAGTAAGGATGTGCGGGGAACCACATGTGAGCCCAAGGGCAGGGTAGTCTTGATTGTCCTGGCAGCTGGTTGTCCCTGGTTGTGCGGCGCTGATCGAACTCGCGAAATGTGTACCTGAGTTATACCAAAGGTGACCTAAGACAACCTTGGCGCAGGTATATCTGGGTTTGTGTTAGGAATAACTACCTAGTTGGTTGCAATCGATTCGAATCGCCGTCTCTCACGGATAGTGAGAAACTTGACTAGCTCCAACATCGTAGTAAATGGATTATGGAATATGATGGTTCTGATGAATATGAAAATCTTACACTGGCTATGGTTACTATTGTTATGCTATTAAGTGATATACAACATGTTTGGCACAGGTTAGTTGCTAATCTAGAGATGAATTGCTATAATTAACTTGATGACTGAATTATAAAAGGTATAGCTGAATTAGTGGCTTTTTATGCAAAATGTTGTCAAGCTAGCTCTACTTATATAGCCTTACATGATCCTTGAAGTCACTTTATTTTTTGTTTATGACTGGTAAGTCTAGCTGAGTACCTTCTTGTACTAAGGATTTATTTCTCACTTGTTGCAGATGGTACTTTCTATCACAGATACTGTAAGAATTGCTTCTGTCCTGCTGTGGACGAGGAGTAGGCCCGGGCAAGGCGCTTCTACTTTTATGTCTTATCTATGATGCTTTTGTCGGACTTGATCACAGTCTGGCAAGTATTTGAACAATGGTGTGAGATGTTAGTTTAAAAACTACTTTGCTTCCGCTACTACTATATTTGAACTTAGTTTGTAATAACTTTAATCATACTCTGATGTATGGCAATGTATTTGTGAACTCTATGTAACATGTGACATGTATGGTGAATCATGTACGATCTTGGTTGTATGTTGGCGATTAATCGAGACCCTTCGTGGTACTCGACGGACTACCGGGTTTATATGGGCTCAAGTATGATAGTGCGACTGCTTCGTAGGCTGCCGTTGTACTTGTGCTCTTATAAATTGGATGGTTCTGTTACAGATAGAATGCCAATTCATTCAAATCAAGGAACAAAACTTTGTTACAGGCATGGCACTTTTGAAATCTAATCGGCATAGTAGGAACTCATGATCAACAACCAACGTCTTAGCTTTTCCTCAAGGATGAGCAAAGGGTAAGCTTGGGGGATTTTGTTGGCGGTTCTTATCGACAAAATCCAACCACCATCTATGACCCAAAAGGAGGAAACTACTTGTTTTTACACACATATACCTTTACTATTGACATGCTTCCACTTGTATTTTTGGATTACTGTTTTGTAGGTCACATACATGAATACAAGGGAATTATAATCAAAATACGCCATCACACAAAGCATAATGCAGATCATACACAAAGAACCAGAAGACGACCATCCAACGTGCAAATCTAGGGCGAGCACCGACATGGGGATGATCCAGGCTCAGCCAGCAGCCCACAGCACGAAGACGGATTTTCATCTGGCGGTGCATTGATGACGCCTAGGGTCGGTTTTGAGTAGTTTCCTATTTTACCTCGGCCAAACCGACCACAAACTAGTATAAAAGGTGGTGCATTGATGATGCCTATTAGCGCTACCCTTAGATATTCTTGTATTTGTATGATCTGCTAATCTTAGCATAGATATACAAGATAAGCCTGCTCTAAGTTAGGAATATTCTTTTATTCTTTAGTCTTTCTTTTATCTTTATCCTTGAGATTGGCTATAGTGTGTGTGTCACACTATCCAATATCTATTTGGAATTACCTCTGTTATGGACTTTGGTCTACTATGCAGTCATGTTATCTTGTCTATATCCTTTTTAGAGACTTTTACACCAAGCCTTCCTTTGGTAAAATATAAATGAACGATACCCGAATACTTTCGGGTGAAATGCAACAATAATATATCCGTGCGCTTGCGGAGTATTTCTGCATGTGTTCAGAAATATCGTCATGGCGTTTCTGGTGCCATTGCTAAGAAACACCAATCCTAATGATTGCGCTAAGAAATGCCAATAGCCACTTGCGCCAGGAAGCTGTGTAGTCGTCATCAGTGCTGGCCTTCCACAGGGACGCTAGCTCCCCTAGCGGATTGCATCGTGTAGGTAAACCGAAGCACTCGTTGACGCAGTGAGCAAAGTAGGCCCAGTCGGTGATTGTCCTGTGCTACGTGAGGCGCATGTATCATTGCTGGGCGCCACATGTTATATCAAAAGAGTCATACCAGACTTGCTCATTTTGGGGTGTCTTTTGGCCCCTGAAGAATTGCTTGCAGAGGTTAAGCCACGGAATGGATCCTCCTTGCCATCGAACGTGGGGAACGACAGCTTGTGGATGCGTGGTAGTGGAGGACTAGGACAGAGCCAGGTGTTGTTGATGGATGCGGGTTTGGCAGTGGTAGTGGTAGCCTGGCCCTAAGATACAGGCTCTTGGTGTTGCTCAATGGGCATGTATACCCTAAGACAGGCGGTGGTCAACAACCAATGTATGTTCTATGTAATTTGGGCTATGCAAAGATACGACTGTGATAACACATCAGAGGGAGAATTCAAAACAAGGCAACTTCCTGAACAGTTCGTTTAGTCTTCGTCCAGACTGTTTCCTGTATATCTTACAACAACAGCAAGTAGTAGGGGTTGGGCACTTAGAACCAATTACATTACATAGGTTTCTCCGCTCCTGATGACGACATCTATGTCTATATGCTCAAGATTGATAAAGTGATGTCTGATTAGATTTCTAAATATTTTGTGCCATCGCATTCGACAAGTGTTTTCAGGATCCAGTTGTTACTGCTGTCATTTAATCTGTGTTATCTTGCGATTGTCAGACTGTCTCTATGCTCATTAATTCGCTTCCGATACCTAAACAGAATGATGACGACAAGTTATTTGTCCTGATGACCATACCTATGTCTGTATATATATGCTCAAGATCGATGCATATAATAGAATTTGTTTGGTAGAGCAAAATATTGTGCACGTCGCTTTCGATAAGAAGCTGACGACAATCTACATGTAGTACCTACAGTTGTCATTTATTCTGTGTTCATGCCATTGTTGTCAAAAGGTGCGGAGTCTTCCATGTGAAAGATATGAAAGTAATTTAGACGCTAGATCTTCAACTATAAATAGTTTTGCAAGTTTGAACACATAACACTTCTGTGTCCCAGCAAGCAGTTCTTAGAAATTTACTCAAGCTATGCATCGGTTATCAGATCTCACGCTCGAATCCAAGGGTACAATGCAAGTCCCAACATTACTCTTATTACTAGCCTCACTGTGCTGTTCAGCGGCGGCACCGCCGTCCGGCTACCGCTCCACGCTCACCCACATTGACTCCCATGGCGGCTTCACTAAGGCAGAGCTCATGCGCCGAGCGGCACACAGAAGCCGCCATCGAGCATCCACGATGGCATCGGGTTATTCCCAAACGAGCTCGGATGCTGGTCCCGCCAGGCTCCGCTCCAGCCAAGCCGAATACCTCATGGAGCTCGCCATCGGGACACCGCCGGTGCCGTTCGTCGCCCTTGCCGACACTGGGAGCATCGTCACCTGGACGCAGTGCAAGCCGTGCAAGCACTGCTTCCCGCAGGACACGCCTGTCTACGACACCGCCGACTCGTCAAGCTTCTCCCCTGTGCCATGCGCCAGCGCCACGTGTTGGCCTGGCTGGGGCAGCAACTGCACCGCTAGCTCACCCAGCAGGTACCGCGTCGCCTACGCCGACGGCTCCTACTCGACCGGCGTCCTAGGCACGGAAACGATCACGTTCGGCTTGAACCCAGGTGCGCCCGGAGCCTCCGTCGGCGGCATTGTGTTTGGCTGCGGCGTCCCTCGTGGCGCAGGTTGGCGTCGGCAAGGTCTCCTACTGCCTCACCGACTTCTTCAACACCAGTCTGGGCAGCCCCGTGTTGTTCGGCTCCCTCGCCAAGCTGGCGTCACCAACCGCCGACGATGCTGCCGCCGTACAGTCGACGCCCCTTGTGCAAAGCCTGCACTACCCGTGGGTCTACTACGTCTCCCTCGAGGGCGTATCGCTCGGCAACGCTCATCTACCGATCCCTAATGACACCTTCGACCTGCGCGACGACGGCTCCGGTGGCATGATCGTGGATTCCGGCACCACCTTCACGATCCTCGCCGAAAGCGCTTTCAGGGTGGGGGTCGACCATGTGGCCGACGTGCTGCGACAGCCGGTGGTGAACGCCTCCAGCCTGGACAACCACTACGGGAGAACGCAGATTTGCCGAGTGCCGTCAGCTTTGTCGAGTGCCAAAAATCGGGCACTCGGCGAAGCCACTCTTTGCCGAGTGCCTGACCGGGTGGCACTCGGCAAAGTCTAGCATTCAGCAAAGAGTGGCTTTGCCGAGTGCCACAGAGTGCCCTGCACTCGGCAAAGGGTGGCACTCGGCAAAAGCCCTCTTTGCCGAGTGCAACACTCGGCAAAGAGTGGCACTTGGCAAAAAAAATGGCACTTGACGGTCGAGCCCACCCACGCCGTCAAATTTAAAAAAAAAAAATTCTTTGCCGAGTGCCCGCCCTGGCACTCGGCAAAGAGGGCCTTTGCCGAGTGCCAGGGCCCTGCACTCGGTAAAGATCCCTTCTTTGCCGAGTGCCACTTCGTGGCACTCGGCAAAATATATATATTTTTTTGTTTTTTTGACCCATTTTTTTTGTGAGGCCTTCCCACATTATTTAAAACTCCATGTTCAAATTTGGGACAATTTTAACTTTTTTTGCTATATTTTGTTAGTTTTTTTGTTTCGTTGAATTTTATGGAATATTTCAAATTTGAACTGCAGGTGCATGGAATAATCGAATTTGGTCGTTCAAAAAATGATATTCATGATATTTGGTGTATGTTGTTGCCGTATCCAGGAACTCACATGAAATTTCGAGCATCTTGTTGACGTAACATGACGAGGTACCTGCAGGAAAAGTGTATTTAAATTATATAAAATCCGAACGAAGTCCGAAAATGACGAAACTTGTTGGGGCGTCGTGTTATCGTATGTAGAGTCTATGGTAAATATTGAGAAGGTTTCGAGCAAGTTGCGATGTCGGATGCCTAAAACCCAGACATCTTCACATGTGATCACTCGGAGCTGTGGCACTCGGTAAAGAGTTAAAAAAAAAATAATAATAATTAGACGGCGTCAGCCATCGGCCGACGACGTCAAATCTTTGCCGAGTGCCCAAAATTTGGCACTCGGCAAAGCAGCCTTTACCGGAAAGGGGATTCGATGGAGGCTCTTTGCCGAGTGTTGCACTCGGCAAAGGCTTTGCCGAGTGCAAAGCTGCCTTTGCCGAGTGCAACAGGCACTCGGCAAAGAGCCCGCCTCCGGTTGTGAGCCCATGTTTTCCGGATCCGGCCGGTGAACGGGAGCTCCCGGCCATGCCGGACATGGTGCTGCACTTCGCCGGAGGTGCAGATATGAAGCTGCATAGGGACAACTACATGTACTTTTACCCGGAATCGTCGTCATTCTGCTTGAGCAGGGTCCTCGTCGGCTTCTTTTTCCGTTCTGGGCAATTTCCAGCAGCAGAATATACAGATGCTGTTTGACATCACCGTAGGGCAGTTGTCATTCGTGCCCACCGACTGTAGTAAGCTCTGAAATTATGTGATACTATCTTTTGTATATACATAGCTTTTGTTATACATCTAGATATACACTATAAGTCGTTTTGGCTTTTCTAAAATACATTGCTTTTGCTGTGCAGTTAGATATACACCATTTCTATATGATACAAGAAATGTATCTAGAAAAGCACAAAACATATTATAATTTGGAATGGAGGGAGTACAATTTAGAACGGAGAAAATAAATGATAGTCAGCGCATTGCTGTGGGACGAGAGGATAGAAAATCATATCAAGAACCAAATTTGGAGATGGAGTCGTAGTAGTAGGATATATAACTTCTTGCTGTGAGGATGGGCATATATGTTTACTATGGCAATGGCTTGGCATCTAGATCTTACATGATTCCTTGACCATGCAGTGTTCAGTTTTATCTTGGTTAGGCAAAGGTCACACACTGAAAACTGAGCTATACATGTTGTATAGAATGGCACCAAGATCTAAAAAGATCCCTACAAGTTAGTTATCTCAGCGTTTCCTCCTTGCTGCTAAATATATCTGCATATATATTCAGGCACTAAAAACGATTATATAGAAAAATAAAATGGCAAAAACGAATTGTACAGTATCACTCTACTAGGTGAAAATGGAGTCTCCCGGTCTAGAGTTGCAATCTGGATATAAAGCTGCATTTAATATTTCTAATTTCAAATGTTATGTTCATACGTACACTGACCTGCAATATATTTTTAACAGTTGTCTATATGAGAAGATCATACCCTTTCGGCTTCCCGCCCCCGAGGTGCTCCTCACACAGGGCAACAGGGGTGGAACCCAATACCTAGCCCCGCCACACATCATCCTGGCCGCGTCACTGCCAGAGCATCGTGCGAAAGCTAGGATGGCGGCGCTGTGGCTATATCTACTTTGTCATGGGGCTTTCTCTTTCTTGATGTCTCTAGAGAATTCATCCCCGTTCTTGTAGTCTTCGGTGGCAGCAGCTCCCAGGCCGGCCTATGAGGGCGGCAGCCGGATTCAGCACCAACATGCTTAAATCCAGTGCTTCCAGTATTTGTGGTGGTTTGCGTGCAGATCTGCCTGGGGGCGTCACGGGAAGGGCAAATAAGAGGTGCAAGTGATTCATGTATTCCTCGTGCGGGCATATGGTGTTAACTCTTCAAAGGAAGCTATAGCGTCTTTATGTCTCCCATGACGTGCAACATCGATGTATTTTGGGGAGGCGGCGCAAGGGCAACTCTGATTTGATGCATTTCGTGATCAGTTGGTGTAGGATCTGATGTGTGTCCACCGCTAGATTGACCGCCCTGCCCAGCCATCTGTGTCAGATGGAGGTGGAGCCAATCATGGGGTAGTCTGATCCAAAGTTCCTGAGCTCAGATATGCTTTTTTTGAGGAAAAGCTCAGATATGCTTGGCGGTGGTGATCTGCTCATTGGTGATGCATAAGTGTCACGTGATGGCTTCGTCGGGAGTTATGGACAAGGTGCAACACACCGAAGGTAGTGGTAGTCGACTGTTTCTATGCGTGGATACGTGGTGGGCTGCTGTGGAGGTGCTAGCGAAAGCCTTGATGTTGTTCCTACTTCCTACCAGACTCGACAGTGGCAATTCCTTCGGGTGTTGTTTTCCTTCTTAGAGGTGTTATGATGGCACTGCAAAGCTCTCCTATGCACAGATGTCCACGTGAAAACCTGGCCTCGTATTTTCAGGTGGGCGACATCGGTGACTCAAGTCATTTTCCTACATGGGGTCATCCACCTTAGAGGTCCATCTTCACGAAAAGTTGATCGACGGATCGTCAAGCTTGGAACTTGTGCAAGATATTTTGCATGTGGTCTTCACTCGGAGAAGACATTCACTTGCAGGAGGCTGTCAGAAACCCAAATCGGATTCTCTCACAAATCGAAATTACAGCAATAATCAAAGTAGCTAGTAGTTTCTAGAAGGTTCTGGATACAACTTTGAGGTACTGGGAGAGGGAGGAAGGAAGGAAGGAAGAAGAAAGATAAATCGAGTCAGCGACTCGCCTCGAGCAGATGCTCGCCTCGAGCGTGAGCTCGCCGCCGGGTTCCTGGTCTGTTCTTGACTTCTTCGACGACTCCTCCACTTGACCTGCTTCTGTATTTGTTTGTGCTGCCGTGGCTTCCTTCTTGGGCCAGGACAAGTCTGGTGCTAGAGCCCACTCGCTTCTCCAGCCTGCTAGCCGGCCCGGCCAGCCCATGAGGTCCCTGATATACTTCCCTCCTTGAAACACGGCTTGTCCCCAAGCCGTGGTAGAGATATCCAAAACAAACTCAAAACCGCCAGGATCCCATGGCACTTGCAAGTCATTGGTGTTTAGTGTCAATCTGACATCATTCCAGACCGGTATATGTGACGTGCTTCCCTCCTTGTAACACGGCTTGTCCCAAAGCCGTCTCAGAAACAGCAAGCAGATGTGTTCCAAATCTCCAGGATCCCAAACCCAAACTGAGGTCGAAAACGAAACAATATTGAGATGGTGACCACCTGGATCCCAAAGCACTTGGATATCTGGCCAGTCATCCTTGGTCATCAGTAAGCCATGCTGATACTGGGCAATGATCTGAATTTTAGGGAACTGCACATCTATCTGAAACACCAACTTGCATTTTGTATCCTCAGCAAGAAGATTTTGGTGATTCTTGTTCCCAAGTGCTGCATATGGCGCAAGCCACAATTGGAAGTGAAACCAATGCAGACTAGAGTTGTGAATGGTGCACTTGTTCAGCACATTCAGTAGCATCCAATTCCACATATACACTATTGTTTCTACATGCAAGCTGAGAGCAAACCATGCTGTCACTCCGAGCAGCATTCCATCAATCAGTGATACTTGCTCACACCATTTCCCATCCTCTACAATATATAATAATCTCTTCATGTCATATATAACCCATTGGCTTGCTCTTCCACATAGCTTTTGCTTCTCTCCATCTGACAGAAAATAATCTGGAAACCATAGCCTTCGCAGATTGATATATAAGGAACTATCAAGAAATATGGAGGCTCCTACCCTTGTGATACATCCAGATAATAACCAAGTAGATATACATTCCCCAAATTGTGAATACATGCAGGCGCCTCCAACATTAAACAATCTCCTATTAGCATAACCCCTCGTATGACAGAGATGTGACAGTAGTATCTCATCTTTGCTAGCTGCAGCCATAGACACATGCCAAGTTCTGAATACAGTAAATGAGGTCACTGTCTTTTCTGGCGGCAGCCATGGAGATATCAATTGCACTTGGGCTTGACAGTAGCTTGTCCCATGCCATGGCTTTGGTTGTCGAACCTCAACATTGCTGCTCCAAAGATACACTTGCTCAGGCGGTGGCCATAGTAGTAGCACTGATGGTCCAACAATTTGACTGCCACAGTAACAATTGTAGCTCCACTTTGCCTCCCTCATTGTGAAGTTTACTCTGATACTTCTCCCAGT